TGGGGTATTTCCACACAAAAATTAAGGTAAAACATTGTAAAAACAGGAATTCCCAGCAATTTTAATATGTGAGAAACAAGAAGTTTTGTCACAAGTAACAGTTTTTTCTTACCGAATTGATTGATTGTCTTTTTCACAACAAAGAAGAAAACAATTCATACAATCAGCAAAAAGCAAGAAATCTGTGCATATAGTGAAACCCATCCATCCAGTTCTTAAAAATATATTGCCAGTTTCTTTTCTATTGTCTGGTAGAAAAATGTAAATAGACAGATGATAGGAGATATTTTAAACCAAAAAAGCAAGTGGATGAATGCAGAAAATAGAGCCACCAGAAAAATTAAAACTGGAAAATATGACAAACTTGAGAAAGCATTAATTATATGAATTGTGCAAGTAAATGCAAAGAATGGCATTGTGATAAGAAAGCAAGCAGAAATATTTGGGCAGAAGATAAATATAAGCAATTTTAATTACAGCAATGGATGGCTGCATCAATTTAAACAGCATTATGGCTCATCACAGTGAAACTGCCTAAGTTGATTTGGATATTGTAAAAGAGGGAAGAACTAGTCTGTCAACAATGATAATGATATGATATGAAAGATGTATGTAAAATGGATAAAATTACTTTATTTTACTGATTTCAACCCAACAAAATGATTGCTTGTGTACTTTTGAAAGGCTGCAAGAATAAAGACAGAATTATAATTGCCTTTTGTTGTAATTCATACACTACTTATCAGTACTGTATACATTACAACAAAAGAACTGCGACTGTTATCGGAAGTTTAGCAATGCTTGTTGTTTTAAAAATTTTGATTCTTCCATTCATTGCCACTACAAGCACAACAAAAAGAGATGACTAACAGCATTATTTTTCCAAGAATTTGTTGATTTTAATAGAGATATGGAGAGAGAAAACCTTAATGTCCTGATATTAATTGATTATGCAACCTGTCATAAGACAGTCAACCTGAGCAATGTTGAAAAACAATTCTTTCCAATAAATTGCTCAGGAATTCTGCAACCACTTGACACTGGCATAATAAAATGTTTTAAATCTAACTACAGACATCACCAAGTGAGGAAAATTATCAAAGACATCAATGATGAAATTCCTGTTGAGATGTCCCTGAAATTTGCACTGTGTATAATTAGAAAATTGTGGGATGAAGCGACATCCAAGACAAAAAATTGTTGGCTCTACACTGGCCTATTCGGAGAGAAGACATAAATTGATGAGGATTATAACAACAGTGTTTGAATGTTATGTTTAAAATATTGCTGAGATCACTACCTAACTTCCATAATCCAACTTGCTGCTGAAGAATTGATTGAAATCAGTCTTAATGAGGATAATTTTGTGGAGTTAACCTCAGAAAAAATAGTTAATTCTGTAAAAAAAAAAAGAAAATTCAATTGCAGGAAGAAAACAAAGTCGATCAAACAAAGACATAGAAAATCCTCTAGCAACTGCGAAAGCAGCTCCAGTTTGTCTAAAGAAAATTCGTCATTTTCTGTAAGTGCATCCAATAAGGATTATCTGATGCATGTTGACTCATTGGATACATTTATCTCTACAACTCAAGAAAATAATGTAGTTTAAACTACTTTGGACAAATGACAATTATCATCATCTTGACATTCCTATTTGCATATGGTTTTCAATAAACAACCACCCTCACCATTCCACCATGGCCAGAAAACCAATGGTGGCAGTTTAAAGAGGGTTGATGGTAGTATTAAAATAAAAATATGTACATAGCTGCCTACAGGAAAGATTATAATTTGTTTATGATTTTATCTGAAATATTCTTTAGAATTTTTTATATATAAATAAAAAATATAAAAAGCTGCAATAAAATGCTTTGATAAATTTACTAAAAATCCTATAAAAATAAATTACATTTGACTGGTCTCATATTTGTAACAAGTATTCAATAAAATACATATGTAAAATTGTAAAAATTAATTATGCAATTAGAGAAATTTATTTAGTTTACTGTATATTTATTTCTGATATAAGAATAATTAGATTCATTGCTATTATTCAGAATCTAAATACAGGGTGTCCCAAATTAAACTTGACATTTCTCAACTGGCTACAGCAAAAACTATTCATCAGAAAGTCATGAAAGTTTGAGAATTGTATTTTTTAACATGATGATGGGAATCTTTTTCAAGAGCAAAAATAATTAGTTCCAAAAACCACCACTACACTAGAGGGCACATTATAGCTTTATATAAAACTTAACAATAGGCTATACAAATTATGTCTAATGTGAACAAAACATGTTGGCCACCATTGTCTGCTACCATCTAAAAATGTAAAACAGCAAGTTCAATGGTTGCATGCAGAGTATGCCTTGGAATGTTAAGCACATAGCATGCAAGGGTGTCCTTAAAGTCTGACAGCAATGTTATGGAATCATGCTAGACTAAGTGTTTGAGATAGACTTGAATCCATGTGATTTTTGGCTCTAGGGCTGAGGATTTTGCAGGCCAATATTCCACTATTACAGCTTGAAAAGTTTCCTCTAGTGGTTGTTTTTAAAACTAACTATTTTTGTTTTGGAAAAAATTCCCATCATCTCATTAAGGTATTCCCAAACTTTCATAACTTTCTGATGAATAGTTTTTGGTATAGCCAACTGGAAAATGTCAAGTTTCATTTGAGACACCTTGTATTTTATGTTGACAATTTACACGTTCTTATATACATGGTGTCCATAATTAAAGTTTCTCTATTCAGAGCACGCTAGCTGTAATCAGTAAGCAGATTGCATAGTCTATACAAATTTTGGTCTCAAAGGATGTATAAAAGAAGAATTTGCAATATACACAAAACAAAGCACGATAAATAACAAAGACCTTAAAGTGATATTTTAATGTATTATTTTAAGGTTAATGTCAGACAAGCATGAAAATGCACTGCTGTTTTGATTTGAGGATGTAAAAATTCATAAACAGAAAGGCAGTGGTCAGACAAGTTCTATTTTTCACAGAATGCATTGATAATCAGTTTCATTTCAGATGCATGTTTAATGTCAACATGGATCTCATAGAGTGTGATGCACTGTGTTTTTTTTTTTATTATTATTATGTACAGAACTATTTAAAAACAAAAAAGAACATACCTGATATTGCCTATGTCTTTTTGATTGTAACCAGCCTTCCTTTTTCTTATTTCTGTTTTTATAAAGTTCAAATGAAGTTTCTCTCACTAATTTGTATGATCGTTTATTAATATCCTTGTCCATTTTTTAGAATATGCAGGTACAGTACCATACATCCTTTGGCAAGAACAATGCTGACCCGGTATTCCCTTGAAATAACGTTAACATATTCATCATTTTTCATGCTCATCTGACGACTATAGGCTTTGAGTGTATATCCGAGTGCACAATGGTCATGCAATGTCATGAGATTATCATAGACAATCTGACAGCCCGTCCATGTTCTCCAAGGTAGGAAACTGGTCTTGACATGTTGGGGGCCTAGCGACAAGTATAGAGGATCCGAAGGTCCTGCCTAAGTCTCAGCCATTGATGGAGTCTTTAGATTCATTAGTAGATTCTGGGCATGTTCCTTGTGGAACAAATAAATAGATTTGTCTTGTGTTTTTTTTTCCATAAGGTGTGCTTTAAAGGAAAATATATGGAAGTTTTTAAACTAAACTTTTCTGATAAAAATTACCAGGTCAAATAAATTTAAACATATAAATTTAAGAAAAATTTTTAAATTCTTTTATGTATTGTCAAAATAGACAATATATAAAAGAATTTAATATTGTCTATTTTGACAATACATAAAAGTGTCTTCTTTGTCCTTTTTGCACACACAATGAAATTAGACAGTGCCTAAAAGTCTAACTTTGTCCTATTTTAAAAATTATTCTTAAATTTATGTGTTTAAATTTTTTTTGCAAAATCACTTCCTGCATCCTTTGCATAGTCTGCATGCAAATTTTGGTGTCAATTCATTTATTGGCTACAGATACAGTGCTCTAAATAGAGAAACTTTAAATAAATTTACAGGGTGTCCATTAATTTAAAAAAAATTGTATATATGATTTTTAAAATATTTTCGGTTCAAGGTTTAAAAATTTCATCAATTTTTCTTAATTCAGATAACTTAAAGAAAAGAATAAAATAAAATAAATCATTGAAAATAATTCAAAGTTATAATTAGTAATTATCCTTTTTTATAATTATTTTATTAAATTAATATCACAATTATTAACAATGTATTAAAAATATATTTTTAATAACAAAATTAAATTGATAGATGATAAATTATGTACAATAATCATTTGAGGCAATTATTTTATAAACAATTTTAATTACACATACACATTTTAAGAACTAAAATCTCTCAAATACAAATAATTTTCTTTTTATCAATATAAAAAATATTTTTTATTTGTAAAATACTCAAATTATTCTATAGATTAATTACATTTATGGCTAAAGCATACTTAGAATATCAAGCTTGATATGTATGGCAGCATATTTTATCATCAATTTTACAAGGTTAATTCTTAGAAATTACTTAGAACAAATTATTATTTAAAAAGGAAAAAAATAAATAAATGAATTGACATAATTAATCATTTAATTACTGTAACATTCATTTACTTTTATTTGGCTTCTATGAAAATATTCAATACATTATTTATGCTGTATACTATATACAATAGACAAAGCATAAACTGTTGTGCCGTTTTTAAATCAATATCTTTACCTAACAATCATGCATACTGCAAAAATCATCATTATAATATTAATGGATTTATATGTCCATTAGATAACATCAAATTCTCTGATTTTAACTCATTGTTGCTTTTAACTTCTTTTGTTGCATCATAATCATGTTTTTTACAAATCACTAAAAAACAAGATATTAAATAATGTTTTGGATGGGGTTTTGTGCAAGCATAAAGAACAAAAAAAATCTGTATATATATTAATATCCCAAATAACAGCCATACTACATAAGGAATGTCTGGTAAATGGCTCAATAAAGTCTCCTTTTTATCTATTCTTTTATTTTCTATAGAGTGATACAATCTTGTATGTTCTAATGAAAGGATGTTATACTGATCAGCAAGTTCAAACAAGTAATAAATGGTTACAACAGTCACACCTAGATAACCAAACAGCATCACCCAAGCTATTCTTTGACGAAACTTCATCCTTTTTCCCAGCCATAAGAACAAGAGGTTTTTCACTTTACTTAATTAGTAGGATATTAGATCAGATTATGAGTGGCTACAAAATAAAAAAGTTAAATAATTAGAAACATTAAGGATTTTCAAATTTATAAAAATGTGATATAATTATAATTAAATTAATTAAAGCCAAGTGATTGCCAGATAATATCACTACTATTAATAATTAAATGCTAAGTAGTAATAAATAATATTGTAAGAACCCTGACTTCAACCAAAAAATAACACTATTTTGTTATATATATATATAACAAAAGCGTTATTTTTTAGTATTTATTTTATATATATATTGATAATTGTCAACTACTACCTGAAAACATCTCATTTTACATATTCTCAACAGCAAAAACAATGCTTTCCCTGCAATATTTTAACCTCCTGGTTGTATGCTACCAATGTTAATATAATAAGAATTGATGACCTAATGAGGCAGTCACCACCAGCTCCTTAATCCATCGTGTTTGCACTGTGCTGCCTATCTGGATTTACTTCGTCACCAACAAACTTCTTAAGTGTCCCATATTTGGATTAACTTCAACACTGACCCCTGGGAAGGGTCAGTGTTGAAGTCAGATCCTACATTTCATCTCTAATCCCAGGACAAGGAGATTACAACATCAAATACCTCATCCTGAACTCCTGTAAAGTACCAACCTTCTCCCACATTTAGCCGTTGAAAGAGACTGATTGAATCCTCCCCTGCCTCTGGTTTACCAGAAGATCAACCAATTTCAAGTATTTATATCTATGTGCAATATCATGTAAACTCTCTCTCACAACCATCTAAAGTAAATAGGTCAGTTATTTCGGTATATTACAATTTATATATTGTGTAACCTTTTTTATTTTCAATTAAATAGTTATTTGTTTGTTAAACCTAGTCTGCGAGTGCATTACTTCTGCCGCATTGTCTCAGTCCTCCACCTGGAATCTGACTGCTTACTCACGCGATCGCTCGCATGACCCAATTTCTACTATCATCAATTTACTGTCACGGCTTCTGTCATCTTGACAGTGGTGTCATCTTGACAGGGCATTGAAGAGGTGCCAACCCTATGATCACATTATCTAGTATATAATTAAATTAATTTTTTAAATAAAATTAAACTTTGATATCTATATAATTATCTAACGATTCACCAGGCCTAAAACTCAAAGAATACTAAAATAGTTCATCAAAAGTTCTAAAAAATTATCTTTATTACATGTCCTGATAAATTATTTGGAACTACAGACAGAAAAGCTGAAATGCAAACTGGAAAAAATTCCAACAACACACTAATTTCCAATCTTAGAGAAATAGGTGCTACTTTTTGCATTTTTTACCAGATGCTCACCCTCTGGTGTTTAAAAACAAAATTATTTTATCTGGGTCATTTGAATCATTGTACATTGTCAACAGAACAGTAAAGATGAATAGCAATAGAAAAAGAAAGATTTCTGTTGCGTTCCAAATTGCACAATATAAGTTTTCGTCTATTCCTACATGAAAAACAGATGATTATTCAGAAATCAGAATGCGGAGCTCATAAATATAACCGACGGAAAGACTATTAAGAATTGGCAAAAAGTTTTCCAATTGTTCAGCTTTGTATGAACAAGTTATGGTGTAAATTTTAAAAGATTTTTCCTTAATGTTTAAAATGCCAGTAATTTTGTGTGGGACACAGGGTCGGAGATTTAAGCATTTCAAGACCCTAAGCTGAATGCTGTGTCAGGCCCCTTACCAACCCATCACATTTTTAGAAGTCATTCATAAAAAGAAAATAATTAACATAAACATATTAACTACTTTTTATTTTATGTAGTATATTTAAAGTATATTTTGTTGGTTTGTAAAAAAAACGATTTCAATTTTCTTTATTGTAGAAATTTTTGAGACCCCTTGAAACTCGAAGCCTTAATCAAAAAGATAACATAACTTGCTTGTAAATACAGCCCTGATGAGACAGATGTCAAAGCTAATGCTTTTTAACACAAAGAGCACAATTGTATAGAATTTTTTAACCAGGAGGTTAAAAGATTGCAGGAAATGATCTCACTCATTTCATCACATGTAATGACGTGTCCCGCTAGCAATAATTGTTCTCCTATAAATTTCTCGATAAACATCTACAAGCAGCATACATTATTATATCGGACTGTAATATATGATTAATTTTATGTTGACTAGTTACAAGCAACCCAGATACAAGATCCTACAATCTTGACCCAGATAAAGTAGCCATTTTGTAAAAATGCAGCATCCTCTATAGTTCATGAAAAACGAAATTACCATAATTGATAAAGCTGAGTACAAAGTAAAAAAGCTCAACCTTAACTACCAAATCTAACTATTAAATTGAATGTTTTCATCTCTCTCTGTGGCCATTGTCGTATCTCAAAGGAATGTCTGAACATTACACAAATCAAATTACAGTTAATGTTACCTATGGTAGCGAAATATGCGGTGTTTCCGGTAATCTCGAATAAGGTTTTCTAGTAGCGATGCTCACAGAGGGCACTGTGAAACAACCAATCTCGATTTATGTAAATTAAATTTCGCTAATGTGGATTTTTTCGTGTTGTATTAACCAAAGACACTAAAAATTCCATAGAGCAGCAGATTTTTTTACGAGTTAAACTAAAATTGCAAAAGTTACTTAACTTATTGATTTCAGTTTAGTGAATAACTCAATAATTCAATTACGAATTTGTATTAGATTAATTATTTAATAATCACTGATAGTGATGTTGAAAATGACGACTTCTGGAGGAAGTGTACCAGTCGTCAATTCTATAAATTGCTCAAATCAGAGTATTCAGATTTAGGATTAGACTCTAGACTAGATAGTGGGTTTAAATTTGCAGTGAAGTTAGGCCTTCAACATACTGAGAAAGTCTGCAGTAAATGTGCAAATACATGCAAATTGTATTATTGAACAGATAGAAATTCCTGTGTGATGCGTTGCCAAAAATGCTGGCGTAATAGTTCAGCTTTCAATGGAACATTTAGAGCAGCGTTTCTCAAAGTGGGCGATAACGCCCCCTTGTGGGCGCTGGAGGCTGTCAGGGGGGCAGTAGAAGGCTCATAGAGAATTGGGGGGCGTTAAGGAAATATAGAGGGGCGACGGCAGACAAATTCTATATATAAAAATTCGACGGAATATATATAAAATGTTTACATTTTATATATTTTTTATTTTTTATTGAAGGTCACAACTTGAATATTTCTAACACATTGACTTTTATTTTAGCTCAGCGTTTCTCAAAGTAAGCAATAATGCCCCCTTCTGGCGCGATGAATAGATCTATGATAGAGGCAGGGTATTGAACAATGACCAACGGCAAAATTGGGGCTGATAAGAGGAAACATTGCGTTTAATGGTTTCCAGATGATGAGAACAATGTACAGTAAGGGCACAAAGTGTGAGATTCATAGAAAAGTTTTCCTAAGAATATTTTCAATCCTTTTCTCACACAAGAGAAAATGGGTTAGGGGGCATTGGGTATAACTTTATGGAACAAAGGGGGCGGTGGATCGAAAAAGTTTGAGAATCACTGATTTAGAGGCAAATGTGAAAATTTTTTATGGGCATGTGTTTTGACATTTATATGGCACTATCTAGGATTGGAGTGTACTACAACAAATTGAGCAATAGCATCAGGAATTTCCAAAAAGACAGCTATCGATTGGTCAAATCACATACGTATCATAATGTTTGTCTCCTTACATAATCTAACATCTTTCAAAATTGGTGGACCTAATAAAACTGTCAAAATAGACAAAACAGTAATCTGTAAACAAATAAAAAAGGGCCCTAGAATGAAAAGTACAAAATGGGTGGTTGGAGGAATTTGCAGGGAAGACAAAAGTTGTTTTATATGCCAAGTAAATGACAGATCTGAAATAACTCTAAATTGGATTGTATCTAAATTTGTAAATTCCGAAAGCATAGTTTTGACAGACAAATGGAAAGGCTATAATCACATAGATGATTTGGATGGAATTGAAATCACTCATAAAACTTTGTCAACCCAAATACAGGAGTACATTCACAAAACTTTGAAAGACTGTGGGGATATTTAAAAAATAAAAAGAATTTGCCTGAGCATTATACGGAAGACCTATCCGATACCTATATGTATGCATTTATGTATAAAAAATTTCAAAAATGGCCATCAAAAAACCCAGGAGAGAGATTTCATATTTTTATTAAGCATTTAAGCATTATTTATCCTGGTGCTGGAAAAACACCAATTTGGAAAGAACCCGAGACTGTTCCTGCTGCTCCAACATCTAATATTAAGAAAAAAAATAAAATGGAAATAGAAAATAAAGGCAAGAAATCAGATAAAATCGGTAAAAGGATGAGAAAAAAAAGTATTTCATCATGTACTGCTGAATCAACCTCGTCAGAAAGAAAACGTTAAAAGGAAAATGTAAACTATTAAAGTGAGTAATTTATTTTTCGTTATTTCAAATAAATGTTAGAGAACAATTTATCAATTATCATAAAAACTAATTTTTTTAAATATTAGTTCGTACGTATTTATTCCAGTCGCCTTCTTGTTTGCATATATGCATGCGCAAACAAGATGGCAACCGGAAGCACCGCCATATTTCACTACATAGGTAACATTAACCCAAATTACAATATTCAAATTTCAACTAAACATTTGAACATTCTAAATTATGCTATTTTTAGATTATTAATTAACATATAACACATTATAAAACTGAAACATTAAATTGCTTATGTGCATATTACTGGTACTACAAATTCTATAGAATTTGCATTAAATAAAATATCAAAAATAATAATAATATAAATTAACTGCATCTACCAACTAACTAATGGTCTCTGCCAAGCGTAAGATAAATGTCATGTACTCACCAAAAAACCTTTTATTCCAACCAGCAGGAGTTTAATTTTTCATGTAACTTTGGACAAATGTTTTCAACCTAATTATAAGTCTACTTCAGGTCTCCAATTTTTCATTCCATTTTAGAATTTGCTGTAGAGCATTATAAATTTTAAATCTTCTAATGCAGTTCAAAAATCATTTATGATGTTTTCAGCATAATTGCCTAAATATTTTAAATCAATGTTATATATATTTGCAGAATTAAATATATGTTTTATAAATCAACATACATTATTTACGTCTCATCACACCCAATGAAAGCCGCCATCTTGGTTTTCGTTTGAATCATCATAAAATGTTTGCCAAGCACTTGCAATGTTCCCTTCTTTAAAATTAAAAATTAAGAAGCACACAAGGCCAACCTCAAACTGGAACAGGCACTTCTGAAAGGCTGTATCAGATATGCCAGATAATCATGGAGAGTTTTACAGATGGCAAGCAGCATTTTGCACAAAAAACATGAAGATAAAACAGCAGAACATACATTCCTGGAAGTACTTACCTAAATGCAGGAAATGGCTGAATGAAAATTGAATTAACATATTGAAAGCAGACAAAAACAAAGCATTAGTATTAATGAAGAAACCTACATACAAAACACAAATTCAAGAATACAAAACCACTGAGAACAGATTGATGAATGATACATAGATAAGCTACAAGATAGGGTCATAAAATTCACACATACAGAAGTAGCTAAGAAATTACAATTAGAAAGAGTGTGATTACCTCACCAGACACACAAACTATTTGTATTTGAGAAAACACAAATCAGGTACCTCATTATGGCCAATTATTGATAAAGCTAGATCATCTACATGCTTATTGGAGAAAAGAATACACAACCTACTAAAAGAACATCTGAACAACTATGAATTCTCAGTAAAAGACCTACAAAATCTTGCAGAAAGACTGAAAACATTATGTTACAAAATAAAGAATATATCACAGTCCTAGACTTTATATCCATCCATTTCATTACTGCCTTGCTTCTGTGTCTTACGAGATTGGTTATTCAACACTGTCAATGAGCCACTCCACTACAACCATATATTAGAGTTGGCACACATCCTATGCTATGTGTGGATTTGATGACAGGGTATGAATATTTGTTCCCTTGTTAGAGTGGATGAGCAGCATGTGAATATGTAGGTGTGAGGACATAGAAACAAGTCTCCTTCAAAAGTTAACCTGTTTGTTATGAGCTCCCTTTGGATGTCTATAACGTTCAAAAGGGAGCTTACAAAAGTTTTTCTAAATCAATTCAGAACTGTCTCCAAGTCCAGATATGAAGATTGTCCCTCAATGTGTCCTTCAGTGAGGTAGATGACCCAAAACAGTGTTGATCTGGAATGTGGAGCTGAGATGGAATTTAGTTGGACAGCTTGACCAAAATCACCAAGGATTTGTTCCAGATGAAGCACAGGAACAAAAAGTTTAGAATTCATGCTGACCTTAAGTAGCTACAGAAGAAGGGCAGACAGGAGAGAATATAGGTGAACAATCAGCGAGAAAAAGCCTTGTGTCCTTGATTCCACTGTTTATGTAGTGTTTAGCAGATTAAAAGAGCTCCGATTTGATTCAATCTTATTCCCAATTGGTCACCCTTCCGTTTTTGGATGTAACAAAACTCAGATTAGGGCATGCGAAAGGTCAATGGTCCACGTACAATTTGATATCTTATTTTGACTCCATCCAAGAATTGTTTATTGACCCTTATCCCTTTTTCTTGCATTTTAAGCTATTATGTTTTGATATTATGACAATCAAGAATTTCAACAATTCTGTTATGACATTCTCTCATCCATAAATCTAAAACTTATTTATCTAAAGTTCATTCTATTTTACCAATTTGTCATATTTATGACTGCCCATGTCAGGGCACCAGTCTTTCAGCAAGCACCTGTAAATTCTCATTGTCTGCACTCATCTTGCACTCACAACTTTCATCACTATTTTAACTCTTCTGGATGTATTTACAATATTAATTTGTTTTTTTTTCCTACCAACTATTTCTCCTCATCATGACTACACATTCTTTCATTAATAATTTCTGTTACTTTCACATTCTTTCAATTTTTACATACATTTTTTAGGTTTGGACCTGATCTGGAATCTCATATACACTTCTTGCTACCAAAATGATAACATTTACTTGCAACAAAGGAGAGTACCAATAGGCAGCCCATTATCAGGAAACCTGTGTGAAATGAGAGCAAAATATGACATAAAAAAGAAGAAACAAATCACCACTCTGTCCATGTATACCTCCGAAATAGGCATGAATTTGAACAAACTAGCCTGATTGGGCATACTATCCAAATTGAGCAGGCTATAACATGGTAAGCTCTAGAAATTTACAAAGCAAAATGAAGAGGGGAATGTGTTACATTTAAGGAAGAAAGGAAAATTTCAAGCACTTGGCAAACATTTTACAACAATCCAAACAAAAACCAAGATGGCAGATCTCATTTAGTGTAATGAGACATATGTAACATGCATTAATTTATGAAACATATACAGTAGAACCTCCATTATCCGGATTTTCGATTATCCGGATTGTTCAAAATAAACAAAAATTTTACGAATTTGCTGATTTGCACTTGGCGAATTACGACACTGTTTATGTACGTGATGGAATGCATAACATTTTTTGTTTCAACAACGTCTCATCCTGCACAGTGGTCGTAAACTCTTAAATATATTTTACGTAGTAATAAAAATATAACATGACATACGTATTTATAAATAATTTATTTTCAAATTACATCATTTCTATGACCAAGGGCGGCGTAAGGCATGGACGACGTGGGCCTCACGCCTCGAAGGTTTATGCATTACTTAAAAGCCGTAAACGCGACAAAAAAATTTTACTCGTCATAAAACGATAAATAGTTTGTCAAATTTTTATTCATAAAAATGCAGTTTCAACTGCTTTCTATTTTATAAAATCCGTCTTCTTGCGCCACCAGAGGGCCTTTTAAACAATAGGTAGTCTGTTAGCGTTGGTCAGTAGTAGTCCAAATTCAATTACAAATGTTTGTTTCTTGAAAATTTGATCACGGTTTAAATACAGTATTTACTTTTAATATTACCGATATGTCATCGAAAAGAAAACGTGTTGTATTATCATTAAAAGACAAATTAAAGTATTTGTTTCAATTATCCGGATTTTTCCTTATCCAGACTACCTTCATCCCCAATTAGTCCGGATAATCGAGGTTCTACTGTATTTAATTCCACAAACATATATAACATCAATTCAGAATATTTAGGCACTTATGCTGAAAACATCATATACAATTTTTGAACTGCATTCGAAGATTTAAAATTTATAGCATTCTACAGCAAATTCCAAAATAAAACAAAAAATTGGAGACCTGAAGAAGACTTAAAATTAGGTTGAAAACATTTGTCCAAATTTACATAAAAATTAAAATTTTTCTAGTTGGAATAAAAGGTCTTTTGGTGAGTAGATTCAAGTGTCCAGCTTTTGAAAGATACAGTAGAGCGTCGATTTTCCGAAAGTCAATCATCCGAAAGAATTCCAGTCGGCAAATTTAAATTTTCGCCAGTGCTGTGGCGCTTCAATCTTTGGCTATGTCTTGGGNATTGACATAATTAATCATTTAATTACTGTAACATTCATTTACTTTTATTTGGCTTCTATGAAAATATTCAATACATTATTTATGCTGTATACTATATACAATAGACAAAGCATAAACTGTTGTGCCGTTTTTAAATCAATATCTTTACCTAACAATCATGCATACTGCAAAAATCATCATTATAATATTAATGGATTTATATGTCCATTAGATAACATCAAATTCTCTGATTTTAACTCATTGTTGCTTTTAACTTCTTTTGTTGCATCATAATCATGTTTTTTACAAATCACTAAAAAACAAGATATTAAATAATGTTTTGGATGGGGTTTTGTGCAAGCATAAAGAACAAAAAAAATCTGTATATATATTAATATCCCAAATAACAGCCATACTACATAAGGAATGTCTGGTAAATGGCTCAATAAAGTCTCCTTTTTATCTATTCTTTTATTTTCTATAGAGTGATACAATCTTGTATGTTCTAATGAAAGGATGTTATACTGATCAGCAAGTTCAAACAAGTAATAAATGGTTACAACAGTCACACCTAGATAACCAAACAGCATCACCCAAGCTATTCTTTGACGAAACTTCATCCTTTTTCCCAGCCATAAGAACAAGAGGTTTTTCACTTTACTTAATTAGTAGGATATTAGATCAGATTATGAGTGGCTACAAAATAAAAAAGTTAAATAATTAGAAACATTAAGGATTTTCAAATTTATAAAAATGTGATATAATTATAATTAAATTAATTAAAGCCAAGTGATTGCCAGATAATATCACTACTATTAATAATTAAATGCTAAGTAGTAATAAATAATATTGTAAGAACCCTGACTTCAACCAAAAAATAACACTATTTTGTTATATATATATATAACAAAAGCGTTATTTTTTAGTATTTATTTTATATATATATTGATAATTGTCAACTACTACCTGAAAACATCTCATTTTACATATTCTCAACAGCAAAAACAATGCTTTCCCTGCAATATTTTAACCTCCTGGTTGTATGCTACCAATGTTAATATAATAAGAATTGATGACCTAATGAGGCAGTCACCACCAGCTCCTTAATCCATCGTGTTTGCACTGTGCTGCCTATCTGGATTTACTTCGTCACCAACAAACTTCTTAAGTGTCCCATATTTGGATTAACTTCAACACTGACCCCTGGGAAAATCCTACATTTCATCTCTAATCCCAGGACAAGGAGATTACAACATCAAATACCTCATCCTGAACTCCTGTAAAGTACCAACCTTCTCCCACATTTAGCCGTTGAAAGAGACTGATTGAATCCTCCCCTGCCTCTGGTTTACCAGAAGATCAACCAATTTCAAGTATTTATATCTATGTGCAATATCATGTAAACTCTCTCTCACAACCATCTAAAGTAAATAGGTCAGTTATTTCGGTATATTACAATTTATATATTGTGTAACCTTTTTTATTTTCAATTAAATAGTTATTTGTTTGTTAAACCTAGTCTGCGAGTGCATTACTTCTGCCGCATTGTCTCAGTCCTCCACCTGGAATCTGACTGCTTACTCACGCGATCGCTCGCATGACCCAATTTCTACTATCATCAATTTACTGTCACGGCTTCTGTCATCTTGACAGTGGTGTCAGTGGTGTCATCTTGACAGGGCATTGAAGAGGTGCCAACCCTATGATCACATTATCTAGTATATAATTAAATTAATTTTTTAAATAAAATTAAACTTTGATATCTATATAATTATCTAACGATTCACCAGGCCTAAAACTCAAAGAATACTAAAATAGTTCATCAAAAGTTCTAAAAAATTATCTTTATTACATGTCCTGATAAATTATTTGGAACTACAGACAGAAAAGCTGAAATGCAAACTGGAAAAAATTCCAACAACACACTAATTTCCAATCTTAGAGAAATAGGTGCTACTTTTTGCATTTTTTACCAGATGCTCACCCTCTGGTGTTTAAAAACAAAATTATTTTATCTGGGTCATTTGAATCATTGTACATTGTCAACAGAACAGTAAAGATGAATAGCAATAGAAAAAGAAAGATTTCTGTTGCGTTCCAAATTGCACAATATAAGTTTTCGTCTATTCCTACATGAAAAACAGATGATTATTCAGAAATCAGAATGCGGAGCTCATAAATATAACCGACGGAAAGACTATTAAGAATTGGCAAAAAGTTTTCCAATTGTTCAGCTTTGTATGAACAAGTTATGGTGTAAATTTTAAAAGATTTTTCCTTAATGTTTAAAATGCCAGTAATTTTGTGTGGGACACAGGGTCGGAGATTTAAGCATTTCAAGACCCTAAGCTGAATGCTGTGTCAGGCCCCTTACCAACCCATCACATTTTTAGAAGTCATTCATAAAAAGAAAATAATTAACATAAACATATTAACTACTTTTTATTTTATGTAGTATATTTAAAGTATATTTTGTTGGTTTGTAAAAAAACGATTTCAATTTTCTTTATTGTAGAAATTTTTGAGACCCCTTGAAACTCGAAGCCTTAATCAAAAAGATAACATAACTTGCTTGTAAATACAGCCCTGATGAGACAGATGTCAAAGCTAATGCTTTTTAACACAAAGAGCACAATTGTATAGAATTTTTTAACCAGGAGGTTAAAAGATTGCAGGAAATGATCTCACTCATTTCATCACATGTAATAACGTGTCCCGCTAGCAATAATTGTTCTCCTATAAATTTCTCGATAAACATCTACAAGCAGCATACATTATTATATCGGACTGTAATATATGATTAATTTTATGTTGACTAGTTACAAGCAACCCAGATACAAGATCCTACAATCTTGACCCAGATAAAGTAGCCATTTTGTAAAAATGCAGCATCCTCTATAGTTCATGAAAAACGAAATTACCATAATTGATAAAGCTGAGTACAAAGTAAAAAAGCTCAACCTTAACTACCAAATCTAACTATTAAATTGAATGTTTTCATCTCTCTCTGTGGCCATTGTCGTATCTCAAAGGAATGTCTGAACATTACACAAATCAAATTACAGTTAATGTTACCTATGGTAGCGAAATATGCGGTGTTTCTGGTAATCTCGAATAAGGTTTTCTAGTAGCGATGCTCACAGAGGGCACTGTGAAACAACCAATCTCGATTTATGTAAATTAAATTTCGCTAATGTGGATTTTTTCGTGTTGTATTAACCAAAGACACTAAAAATTCCATAGAGCAGCAGATTTTTTTACGAGTTAAACTAAAATTGCAAAAGTTACTTAACTTATTGATTTCAGTTTAGTGAATAACTCAATAATTCAATTACGAATTTGTATTAGATTAATTATTTAATAATCACTGATAGTGATGTTGAAAATGACGACTTCTGGAGGAAGTGTACCAGTCGTCAATTCTATAAATTGCTCAAATCAGAGTATTCAGATTTAGGATTAGACTCTAGACTAGATAGTGGGTTTAAATTTGCAGTGAAGTTAGGCCTTCAACATACTGAGAAAGTCTGCAGTAAATGTGCAAATACATGCAAATTGTATTATTGAACAGATAGAAATTCCTGTGTGATGCGTTGCCAAAAATGCTGGCGTAATAGTTCAGCTTTCAATGGAACATTTAGAGCAGCGTTTCTCAAAGTGGGCGATAACGCCCCCTTGTGGGCGCTGGAGGCTGTCAGGGGGGAAGTAGAAGGCTCATAGAGAATTGGGGGGCGTTAAGGAAATATAGAGGGGCGACGGCAGACAAATTCTATATATAAAAATTCGACGGAATATATATAAAATGTTTACATTTTATATATTTTCTGTCTAATTTTTATATATATATAAAATGTTTACATTTTATATATTTTTTATTTTTTATTGAAGGTCACAACTTGAATATTTCTAACACATTGACTTTTATTTTAGC